AATCTTCGGCCTGGGGGGGCCCACGCCGGACCCCGGGACCGTCACAAAGCGGCTCGGGACGCAGAGGGCCTGGGGAAGGGGTCGAGGCTTCGGGGGGGCCGCGCACGGAATCAGAGCCCCGAATCATCAGGGGTAGCTCGGGTCAGGGATAACTCGGGTTCGTTTTTCGGGAATCCAAACCCGAGTTACCCCGGACCCGAGTTACCCCGGATATTTCGGGCGTCCAGAGCCCCGAATCATCAGGGATAACTCGGGTCAGGGCTAACTCGGGTTCCTTTTTCGGGAATCCAAACCCGAGTTACCCCGGACCCGAGTTACCCCGGATAACTCGGGCGCCCAACGGAAGGAATCGCGACATCGGATCTCTGGGCTCGTATGAAGCTGCATGATCACCGCGACACGGCAGGCTTGGCACGTGGGCCTCTGGGCACCCTGAGGGGGAGGGGGGGAGGGGGCACCAGGGTTGAGCCGGGCATTATCCCTCTACCGGGGGAATGGATTTACAAGTGAGTCCAAACATAATACGGGGACCATGTTTCGACGATTTGTGAACAGATTCGTATATTGTTGAAATGATTTTGATATTTGAATTCCAAAGTCCGCCTGTAAGAGGACATGCCCGACCTAACACCAGGGAGGGGGACACTCGCCCATTCGCGCCCAGAGTGCGGGGATGTCTCGAGCAGTTTGCCCGGTGTGCCCCCCCAGGCTTCCTGTCATTGGAGAGCCACGTGGTCATCACGGCACCGCAGGCGTGGCATGTGAGCGCTCCAATCGAATAAGGAAAAACTTCCGAAACATATGAATTTTTGGCGCTCCGCGCGGAATTCTTGGATCTGCGCTGGGCCCCCCTGGCGAAGAATTCCGCGCGGAGCGCCAAACATTTATCGTAATATTGATTTTTTCTTGAATCATCCAGGGGGGACGCTCGCCCGTTCGCGCCCAGATTGTGGGGATGTCTGAGGTGGTCTGCTTGTTCATTGACCTCATACCCTTGTCTTTTGAAAGTCCCGTGGTCACCGCGACATCGCAGGCGTGGTATCTGGGCACTCAAGGGGGGAACCTCCAGGGAGAGGGGCACTTGCGAGGTTGCGCCTAGATCGTGGGACTTCTCGGGCGAAACGCTGGATTAGGAACCCCCAGCCCCGTCCGTTCCCAGAATTGCGACGTCCTATTTTTTCAACACGGGGCCCCTGGAAGTTCCGAACCTTTCCCCTGGACCGGTTTTTCATCCCGAGTCGTTTTTCGACGGTCCCGAGGCCCCGCGAGGGCCTCACGAAGCCGACAACGGCAAAACACTTCCCGTCCTGAGTTCTGCACGACGCGAACATGTCTGGGGCCCCTCGCCGGTTGGAGCCCCAAGATCGGGGGAGCGTAAGACCCGGGTTTGCCGGGACTCGGGTTCGCCATCGTTTTTTGACGACCGCGACTCGGATTTTGACGAGGAGGAGTTTCGTGGGATGTCTGCAGCGGGAGGCCTCGTCAAAATGCAGGCTCGGCCTCGTCATTTTTTTGACGACCTCGTCGGGGATTTCCGAGTCCCCCGTACCCGGGTCTTACGTCTCCCCGACAAGATCCACCCGATGCGGCAGGCACAGCGCCTGGGCACCTCTGTGGGGGGACCGCCGGAGAGCGCGCGGCCGCCACAGGTCGACGCACGTGCAGCGGGAACCCTTGCCAAGACACACCCTGCTTGCCTCCAGGGTGCCCTGGGTCACCTTGGGTTATTCTGCAGAGCCGGATTTTTCTGGCCTCCGCGCCTTTTGTCGTTGAGTCGGCCGCAGCATCGCCGCGGCAAATGGGAGAACATGTTAAATAGGGACTCGTGCTTGAAAGAAATATATGAGGCCCCATGAAAGCCCGCGCGGCCCGACGTAGAACAAGTAGCTTGCCTCCAGGGTGCCTCGGGCCGGGCAAAAGGGGGCGATTGGGAAAGGGGGGGTTACGAAATTTGCTGCATGCAGCTGGTTTCGGCCTCACCGAGGGGCCCATTCCTCGATACATGGGCGCCTCCGGCGCCGGGAGGCGCCGGGAAAATCAGCTACGTGAGCTGATTCTCAAACCCCCCCTTTACTATTCCCCCCTTTCGCCCGACCCGAGTCTCTTGGGCTCATATGGTTCTGCCGTGGAAGGCGTGGCGTTCCCACACCAAGAGCCGATGGACGTCCTGGGGTCTCAGGGTTGGGTCTCTTGTGGAAGGCTTTTGGTGGTCGGGCCCCTAATTGCTGTTTGTGAGGCGATCGCAAACATTGATCAAGTGGGCGTGGATTAGCGACGGGCCTCGCTTCCGTAGGAAATCGCGGATCGCCGCCGAACGAGGCAGCACCGGCCGCATTTTGGGGTGGGCACCTCGCACGATTCATGGATTTGGCGATCGCGCCAAATCCATGGATCGCTAATCCAGGTTTGCGCGCCCCGAATAATGGGGATCTCTGCGTCGAATAACTGTTACGGGTGTGTCTGGCGCGTGTTGTCCGCGAAACCATTCAGAAGTTTCTTGTGGCATCTCTGGGCCAGCTGGACGCCATCCTGGAGCCTTTGGGAGCCATCCTGGAGGCAATCGGGGGCCGTCTTGAGGCATATTTGAACACCCCTGGGGCCATCAGCAGCCATGCGTGATCCTCCAGGGCTTGACCTAAACGCTATTTTGCTGGGTTTCGGGTGTGTTTTGTTTTTCGTGTTGGCAGGGAGGCGCAGGAAAACAGGTAGAGCAAAACGAAAAGCAAAACATAATCAAAACGAAAAACAACGTGTAGGTCCAGTTCTGTGTTCTCCAGGAGCCCGATTTGGAGAATCCGTGCGCGAAGGCTCCGCGGAATGCGCGAGGCCCTTCCCTCACCGTTCCGGGTGACCAGCGTACAGTCGGATCGAGGCACAAGATCGAAGTCGGCTCGGGGAGGGTGCCCTCCTGCCCAGACACGATCGCGTCGTCAAACAAATCATGTCGGGAGGATGTCGGCCGTTTTCGGCCTCGGGGGGCCCTCGCCGGGCCTCGGGACTGTCAAGAAACGGCTCAGGACGAAAACACGGTCCCGGGGAAAGGGTCGGGACTTCCAGGGGCCCCGCATTGAAACAATCAGGACGTCGCATTTCTGGATGTTCTTCTTCGTGCTTGATGGATGTTCTGATGCATCCTGGGGAGAGAATCCCTTAGATGTTATGTGTGTTTCGGCTGGCAGAGGCTCTCGCGTTCTTGAAGGATGCTCTCTTGTCCTTCACCGAGCGCGTTTCACGACTCGCGGGGTACCCATTCGCAAGCGTCCGAAGAACACGAGTTTTCCTCGAGGTAATGGATCGCAATCCCCTCTCGGCGGATCCAGGCCATTCGCGGGCGGCTGCTCTGCGAGTCGTGGAACGCGCCTGCCTTGGCCCAGGTCCGACCGCAGCCACGCCAGCCTTCACCGATATCTGGTCCATGCTCAGGAGGAAAAGAAACACACAGACACAATTAATCCTCGATTCCCCAGAAAATATGGGAAAATATGGGAAGTGGTTGGGAAGACAGAAGCCCAGAAAATATAGTAAAATATGGGGAATATGTTTATTTGTGTGTATTTATTTGTGTGTCCTGGGGCCCCTTCACATGTGGCCGAGGCCGCCGGGGGGCGCCGCGTGGATCCAGCAGAGCGGGAGCCACCGCCGACCCCTCTGTGGGAACCAAGCACGAGAGGCACGAGCCTCGAAGGAGAAAAACAACGGCACAAAAAAAAACTAGCAAAAACTTGTTGACGCTCCGCTCGGAGCGCCACAAGCTTATGTTTATGGCGCTGTCTCTTCTTATTCTTCTTCTTCGTCTAGAGTCAGTGGGCGTCTGAGGCTATGACCTCGAAACTCCCGCGGCTGTCCACCAAAACCTGTTTGAAGGCTGTCTGGGAGCTGGCTGGGGCCCTTCTCCGAGGCCCTCCTGTTCGGGTCTCTCGGGGCCTTTCGCGGCCATTTCAGCGTCACTTGCGGGGTCTGGGAGCCCTTTGGCAAGGTACTTGTGCCGTCAGGAGAATTCTCAGGAGCCATCTTGGGCCGTCTTGGACGACAATTCACCTGAGCCTGCTCAACACGGCTGAGACCCGCAGGGTGCTCGCCACATCCAAACAGTCCGCGCATTTGACAGCCCATTACTTCAAGATGTTGCGTGGTGGCGGTTTTCCTCCACCGTCGCACAGGGCCGAACAGCCCGGGGGTGGCACTACACGGAGTCGGTTTCGAGCGTCGTCCGGTGAACGGGCGGTTGGATTCCCAGGATAGACGGGCAAGGGCAGAGATGTCAGTTGGAAACCCATCATCTCTAGGATGATTTGGGGCTGGGGTTGGGGGAACACACCGACATCGGCCAAACCTGGGATGATCTGACCCCTCGTGTTCCCCGTCTTGGCCTCTCCGAACCCCGCCGACGCCCAGAGTTTAGTCCCGCTCGCAGGTGCAACCGAAACCTTCGGAAGGGGCTCGGGGTCGTCCAGGGCCCTCTGGCCTTCCTCCAGCACACGAAGACTAGCGCCTAGAATTGTCATCAAGTCCATAGTAGTGGCTCCGAGGTTGGCGGGTAGCCTGGCACCTATCTTTTGAAGCCAGGTAATTTCGGTGTTCATAGTGCTCATGGGAGCAATCGGTTCGCGTCCTCGGACGCTCCTAGCAGGCGGAGGCGCAACCGGGGCCCGAGGTGCGGCTCCTCGCTCCGCAGGGGAGCCTCCCTGTGGCCCGACCTCCTGGATCGAATGCCCCCCCGCCCCCCAGGGCTGCGGACCCCTCGCTGCAGCCTCCGGCCTCCGGCTCCGATCCGGGAGGCTCCCGATCTCGGGGGACGCAATCTATACATATCCACTGCTCCCTGGCCAGGCCCATCCTGAACCCAGGAGCTGTGTATACGCCCTCCTGGCCAAACCAGGAGGGCGTGGCGTATACACAGCTGCTGTGTTCAGGATGGGCCTGGCCAGGGAGCAGTGGATATGTATAGATTGCGTCGCCCTACGATCGCCCGCCCAGCTGGACAGGGAGGGGGGCGCGAGGACTGGTTCCCGCTGCCGCAGTCCGTCTCGCTGCTGATCATTTTCGGAGAGGGGGCGCGGGGCGGGGGTCGGGGGGGGGGGGCGGGGGGCTGGGCAGAGGCAGGAGCACCCTCGGGAGGGCAAAGATGTGGGGGGGCCGTGGGGGGATTTTTGGTGGAGTGCGACGCTGATGAAGCAGAAAGTCTGTCAGCCATTGGCGGCGCCGCACCAAAGCACATCATATTCCGGGACAGGGAGAGGTATTCGGCCACGGGCACCAAGTTGCCCATGAAGGCACACGTGCGCATGAAGGCGCCAGCACATCACAGGTACAGGTGTGGCACTGGCGAGGACAACGAAAAACAGAACAGCGAGCAGCCTTGCCAAAGGCAGGAGTATGCGGCTGCTTGCTTTTGCCAGACTGCAGAGAGGCTCCGCACGCCTCACCGTCTGCGCGGGAAGCCGGAATCCACAAATCGTTCAGCGCACGCGGCATCGATTGTCAGTTGGCCGAGGCCGCTGTAGAATTGGAGGAGCAGCAGGAGGTCCTGAGCGGCGCACCCACCTACGCAAACGCATCGGACAAATATCCTCGCGCATTGTGCTAATGAGCTCCCGAAGGACGGGAAACGAAGCGATGGGTACACGCTGCACACGCAACCATTACCACTGCAAGTTCCTTCACACTTCCACGTCATATTGGCGAAAAGGCGGCAGGCTGGAGGGCAGCTCTACAACGCGCTCGCGGTACACTTCGACATGCTGACCACGATACGAAAGACCGCCACAAGGTATCATGTCGTCTCCGCGATCGCCCGAAGATACGAGAACGGTGGCTTCGACCGCTGCCTGGGTCTCCGCATCCGCGAAGATACAGGGTGCGGCGGGACAGTCGCGGATGGAGTCGGCAGCAACAAGAGGGAGGCCACAACCAGCAATTGCAGCACCAGGGACTCCTGGCCGACAAGCGCAATCACCAGGATGAGCCTGATCTGGGGGCTCCGCAGCAGACGCGGGCACGCCGAACGCGACCAGCGTGGCCTCCCCTAGGGGCGCAGCGCCCGGGGAAGCCGGCAACACCTAAGGGGGGGCAAGCCCCGTCACGAAAGGGTTGGACAAGTAGTGCGTGGGACAACGGGGTCATTGGCATCCGTCATCGAGTCCACGTAGTCCGAGCCGGCGACGGTGCTGGCTGCCATGCTGTCGGTGCGGGCGTATAGGCGAGGTCGTCGGAGTCTCCGGCAGCGCCAGCAGCAGCAGGCAGCGGAGTTCCAGCACTTGAAAAGGATGGCGTCGGCCTCGGCGAAGACGTCAGAGGGAGAGCGCGTCACCGCCCACCAAGCCACCCCAACCCAACCCGAAGGCCCCGATTTGCCCTCCATTTCCAGTGGAGGGTGGGGGGAGTCCGGAAACATGGGAACCCGTACCCCCCCCAACCCGAGATTCGGGTCTTCGGGTTGGGCGGGGGTGGTCTGGCAGGTAGTCAGCGCGCGTGGACGTGCGTGGCGAATTGCCCAGCGACGGCTGGGCACTTCTAGCCAGGAGTGGCGCGGCGGAGCAGGGGCCCGGAGCGGCCCTGCCCGCTGGCGCCAGCAGGGCCCACAGCACGAGCACAATTTGGCACACCTCAGGGGCAACGATAGGGGTTGATAGGCATAGGGTGGCATGCATCGACCCCCAATCGCCTACTGATCGCCGATAGGGGTCTGATAGGCCCATCCCGCCCACGAAGGTGCGGATTCACTATCGTGGGCCTATCGCCGATCTATCGGTGATGTATCGTCGATTCCATGTCGATGGCTCCCCCCCTATGCCAGTCACCCCTATCGTTGCCCCCCAACACCAGGATGGGCACCTGAGCAACACAAACAAAAAAACGGGGCCGCTTGCGCCGACATTGGGGCGCAAGCTGCCCGCGCGCGCGTCAGCGCCATCATCTTCAATGCCGCGTGCCGCGCCGACGGCCCGCGTAAAAGCCAAGGCGCAAGGTGGCTACGCCATCTCGCGCAAGACCCGCTTTTGATCGTCGTTCACTGGCGAGCGGAGGGGAGGAGGGAAGGACGGGGAGGTGAGGGGAGGGGAGGCAGGAAGGAAGGAGGGGATCATTGGGGAGGGGAAGGAAGGAAGGAGGGGAGGGGAGGGAAGGACGGGGGCAACGAAGTCGCAGAAGCCAAGCCGGCAGACACACACGAAGTGCCACAGTCCCGCGCGGAGGTGTCCCGGATCTGCCTTCGGCGCCCCCGGCGGCGCCTCCGACGCCGCTCCCGGCGCGCGGAGGGGGGGCCAGCGCAGACCCAAGAGATCTGCGCGGACCTCCAGAAGTTGACACCTCGTTGATTTCTAGGCATTCGATTGTTTTTTCCCCCAAGCAGAGCTTGCCTCTGTAGGGCTCCTAGCGGATTCATATGGTTCGGTCAGGTTTGCCGCCGAGTTTCGCTGCACGCCCGGGTGCCCGGGGGTGCCCGGGTGGGTGCCTTGGTGCCCGGGTGCCCGGGCGTGCCCGGGCGTGCCCGGGCGTGCCCGGGCGTGCCCGGGCGTGCCCGGGTGTGTTCCGGTGCCCGGGGGTGCCCTATAGCCCAACAGCTCCCTAGCCCTATAGCCCTGACTGGGGCTTTTCTCCGGTATCATTTGATTTTTGGGGGGCCAAGATCCTTTCATGTCTCATTCGTATATCATGGGCCTCTTCCTGGCCACTGGGGGGCCAGGAACAATTAGAAGCGAGCACACTTAGAAATGAGCACGACTAGAAATGAACGACGTGTATGTTTATGGCGTGTCTTGTATACGGAGGGAAGGAGACAAAATGCGTTTCGCCCGCCTGCGCGTCGGAATTCGTCCTTCCACGCAGTCAAATCCCGTGATCACATCCCGTGATACGGTTGATCTCCATTGCCTTGGACCCCCCGCTATGCCCCAGCTCGTCGCTGTCTTCGTTTTGGCGGCGGTGGCCCGCCTCGCGTTCCGTTTCTGAGTCAGTGGGCCTACGGGACGTTCGCGCGTATTTCACAAGTTATCTCGCGTCATCGGTGCATGTCGTTTGTTATGTTGTGCCTGCGCCCTCACAGTTGATGCACGCGTAGCCAGCACCGCCGGCCCACGATCTTGACAGAGGAGGACGAGGAGGAGGAGCACGAGGAGGAGGGAGGATGAGGGAGGAGGAGCAGGAGGAGGAGGAGTAGTAGGAGGAACAGGAGGAGGAGGGAGCGGAGGAGGCGGAAGGGCGGTGGAAGTTTTTGCTCCCACCCCTGATCTTGCTCCCACCCCTGCGCCAAGAAGGTGCACAAGAAAGATTGCCCGTGAACTTACGGTAGGTTTATGCGGCGTTGGCGCGCCGGCGACGCTGGCGAAGGCGTTCAAGATTGCATTCTGCGACGCGGAAGCACCGAGGGACGCGGTGACGCCGTTGGACCCGCCGGAATTCAACCTTGAACGATTGGGGCCGAGATCGATTCAAGGTTGAACGATCGAGTCGTTGTCAAAAACCTTGGCGTGCGCCGACGCACCGTACATTAACCTTCCTGCCCCTCGAGGGCCAAAGGCAACTCACCAGGGAGGAGGGGGAGGAGGGGCCCTCCTCTGGCAAGGCCTCGGGCTGCGCACAGACAGCCTCCCCAGGTTGCCCCAGCTTGTCTCAACAGGCCCCCCAGCAGTCTTGAGCGGCTGGCTTCAAGCAGGCCCCCCAAGAAGCCCAGGACGTTCTCAGCACCCGAGCGCCGCGCCCAGCGGCGCCCCTGGAGCGCTCCGCGCCCCAGGGTTGGGGTGTGGAGACCGCCCTGGACCACACGGGGGGCCTATCGAAGCCAGCCGGGACTACCTGCGGGGGCTGTCCGTGCGCAGCCCAGGGCTCGGGCTGTCTGGGCGAAGACGCCAGGCTCGAATAAGGAATTCGACTTCAAGACCTAGGGAGGAGGAGGAGGGGGAGGAGGAGGAGGGGGAGGAGGTGGAGGGGGAAGAGGGGAAGGGGGAGGAGGAGGAGGAGGAGGAGGAGGAGGAGGAGGAGGAGGAGGAGGAGGAGGAGGCCCCCCTCCCCCCCTTCTTGGGGGTGGCGAGGCATCCTCGGAGCCACCGCCGCCACGAGTTACATGGGCATCAGCCTCGAGCGCCCAGCGAAGCTGCAGCTTCCAATGTGAGCCCGCCGCCGACCGGGCCTCCTCGGAGGGGCTCCTTCCCTCCACCTCCCGCTCACCCTCGCGTCCCTTCCTCCTCCTTCCCTCTCTTCTCCCTCCCTCCCTCCAGCGCCTCCGCCAGCCTGATGACGTTTCAACCTACTTTAGCCTGAACCATCAGAAATCATTTCGAGCATTAGGGTTTTCACGTGTCGGGCTCTGGGAGGCGATACTCGTTCGACACTGTTTCGGTACTATTCCGGGTGATCGAACTTATGTTTTGGGATTTGGTCTTGAGATACGATGGGAGCAATATAACTCCAGCCATTTCTCCCTCCCTCCTCCCCCTCCTGCTCCTCCCTCCCTCCACAGCTGCGCATCCTGAGTGCTGCTCCCATCTCCCCGACTCTGCCTCGAGGTGGTTCAGCCCTCTCCGCGTAGAGGTACTGCAAACCGGGTGTGAAACATTGCTGTGTTTTATGTCTTTGTGTGATCGTTGTCTTATTCATTGTTTTGCCGATCGGCGCGGGCCCTCGCACCCCCCCTCCCCCCCCGGGGTCGATCTTGGTTGTTTGGGGCGCATGTTTCACGCGGGTGGGGTCTCCCCCATGGAACGTACTGCCGTAAACAGTCGCACTAAGCAGAGGTCCAGAGCCAGACCTCCCCCCCTCTTTCCGCCCTATGTTGGAACGCCGAACAAGAAAACGCTCACGTTTTTGCAATATTATTATGTCGTTGTTCCACAAAAATGTACCCGCTGCAGCCTGGGCCTCTCTTTCGGATCGGCGCTTTGCTACCGTCGTTCACAATGGCGCTCTCGACCCGGCGTGGGCCACTTGTCTGGCCCTCTGCTCCCCGGGTACCCATAAGACGTTGAAAGCAGGCGTTTTGTCTTCCCAGAGCACGATCTACTTCCAGCGCTTTCCTATTTCAAGAACCGAGATGGTTTGCTGTTTTTATCTCGGCGGGCCCGAACCCAATATACTTGATCCGCCTTTCCACATCATGTGTCTACCTACTTCTTCCGACCAGTGTGTACCCCCCTCGGGGCTGGCGCAGCTCCTTCCTCCCTAGATATCGAAGAACAGGAGACGGCATAAACATAAATGTTCGACGCTCCTCGCGGATTTCTTGGATATGCGCTGGGCCCCCGTGGCGGCGCCTCCGGCGTCGCCCCTGGCGCGCTCCGCGCGCCAGGGAGGGGGGGTCCAGCGCAGACCCATTAAATCCGCGCGGACCGTCGAAAGTTCATGTTTCTGCCGTGTTGTCTTCTTCTGCAGACAACCCGCTTGGGGCCAGCGCAGCTCTCGAAGGGGCTCGAAGTACGTACACCACATCGCTTGGTCAGCCAAGGAGCCAGCGAGTTCGACGAAGGAATTCTAGACGCTTCGCGTATCCCCACCAGCCCGTCCAGAAACGACGCCCAGGCGAGTAGAGGGTCGTCCTGAGGGGCTTTTCGGCGTCTTGGGTGCCTCGGAGGGGCCTCTGTGGGCCGTTCGGGATCCTCTTTGGGGCCTCCTGGGGGCCTCTTGGGGCCTCTTGGGGCCATCTTCAGGCCTTTGGGGGCCTCCTGGGCGCTTCTTGGGGCCTCCTGGGCGCTTCTTGGGTGCCTCTGGGGGATCTCTTGGGGCCTCTTGGGGGTGTCTTGGGGGCCTCCTGGGGGCCTCTAGGGGTGCCTCGGAGCCATCTTGGAGGAGATCGATCAACAAAGGGGGGGTCCCTAATTACAGTCCCCCCCTCAGGAGCCACGATCCTCGTGAGAGGTGTCGAATTTTAGCCCTCCCAGGGGTCGTTGTTGGACGCTCTAACTACCCGCGGCCCCCCCTGTCCAGGTCAGTGGGGAGGGGGTAGGGGGAGGGGTAAACCCCTCCCCGAAGGGGAAGAAGGAGGGGTGGAAGAGGAAACGCTCTAAACCACCGACGCCCAGAGGGCTGGTGGGATTCAGTGTGTGGGCACTCCAGCGCCCCACAGGTCTGGACAGCTGGGGCATCTCTACACCGAGCTCGTTGAACGACCATGCGACGATGTGCATGCATACATCGAGCCCCTCCCAGGCTCAGGCGACAGCGGTGGACCCGTGCGCGTTTTTTGTTCCCCCCCTCGGCGGCCGTCGGCGAGTAGGGGTGCAAAAAGAGCGGCACTGCGAGGCTGGAGGGGCGGAGGAGGAAGGAGGAGTGGGTGCGTTCCCCGAGGTCTGGACGTTGTGCAATTTTGTTCGCAGAGGACGGCTCAGAAAATGCAGCAGACAAACTGCTTCGAGGGCTCCGGTCATGAGTTTTCGCGATGTTGCATTCATTCGCAACGTCGGAATTGAGGGTGCAAGGGGTGAGAATGGGCGGTGAGCCAGAGAGGACGCTCAAAACCAAGAAATGTCCAGGATCTGATGGCTTACGAGGTGCAGGTGCGCTGGGTGTCCCGCTAGAGCGCCTGGAATGTTATTACGCCGCCGCCGCCCCTGGCCCCTCTCCTGCCTTCCCCCCGCCTCTGTGAGCCAGAGAGGAAGCTCACTACCTAGAAATGTTCAGGATCTGATGGCTTATGAGGTGCAGGTGCGCTGGGTGTCCCGCTAGAGCGCCTGGAATGCTATTACGCCGCCACCGCCTCTGGTCCCTTTCCCGCCTCACCCCGCCTCTGAACAAGCAACAAGAGATCTCCAGGTGGTGTGTCGGTCCTCTTTATTTTTGTCTTAAGGTGGAAGGGTGGCAGGACGAGTATGACATGAGAAGCAGGAGGGCCTCTCTGGAAGGGGGTCTGGCTCGACTCCGAGGCGAGGCACGCGTTGCAAAAAGCGGCGCAGCGAAGATTGGGAGACTGGGTCGCCTTCCGGAGGGGAGGTATGGCTCGACTCCGAGGCGAGGCACGCGCTTAAAACAGGCGGCTGAGCGAAGGCTTTGAAGACTGGGTCGGCTTTGTCCCGGCACGAGCGGAGTAGATACGGAAACAACGGGAAAAACAGCGTCCAACAGCAGTCCTTGTGCATTCAGGGTTCGCTGTCGGCGTCGCCGCGGCCGACACCAGTTCGAGACGGGAGGCCGCCTGCCCCACGGCGGTCGCAGTGGGTCTGGGACACCACTTGCTGTCAGGCATCGTGCCCATTTCCTGTCTTTCGAAGGGGGGGTCTGGCTCGACGTCCCGAGGCGAGGAACGCGCCTGAACAAGCGGCGGAGGAGGCTGGGAGGCTGGGCCGCCTCTGCCGGAAGAGGGGGCCTGGCTCGACGTCCCGAGGCGAGGCAGTCGCTCGACCAGGCGGCGGAGCGAAGGTTTTTGGGGAGGCTGGGCCGCCTCTGTCGGGGAATGGGGGGGGGAGGGAGGACGGACCAGCCCAGCCTGCACATTGGAACACACTGCCCCTCCGCCGTGAGGCAGCTGGGAGGGGGAGGAGGAGGAGGAGGAGGAGGAGGAGGAGGAGGAGGAGAGGAGGAGGAGGATCAGGAGGAGGAGGAGGAGGAGGAGGAGGAGGAGGAGGAGGAGGAGGAGGAGGAGGGAGGAGGAGGAGGAGGAGGAGGAGGAGGAGGAGGGAGGGAGGAGGAGGGAGGGAGGGAGGGAGGAGGGAGGGAGGGAGGGAGGGGGAGGGAGGGAGGAGGGAGGGAGGGAGGGAGGGAGGGAGGAGGGAGGGAGGGAGGGAGGGAGGGAGGGAGGGAGGGAGGGAGGGAGGGAGGAGGAGGAGGAGGAGGAGGAGGAGGAGGAGGAGGAGGAGGAGGAGGAGGAGGAGGAGGAGGAGGAGGAGGAGGGAGGAGGAGGAGGAGGAGGAGGAGGAGGAGGAGGAGGAGGAGTGAGGAGGAGGAGGGGGGAGGAGGGGTGAGGAGGAGGAGGGAGGAGGAGGGGAGGAGAAGGAGAGGAGGAGGAGGGGAGGAGGGGGAGGAGGAGGAGGAGGAGGAGGAGGAGGAGGAGGAGGAGGAGGAGGAGGAGGAGGAGGAGGAGGAGGAGGAGGAGGGAGGAGGAGTGGAGGAGGAGGAGGAGGAGGAGGAGGAGGAGGAGGAGGAGGAGGAGGAGGAGGAGGAGGAGGAGGAGGAGGAGACGAGGAGGAGAAGGAGGAGGAGAAGAGGAGGAGGGAGGAGGAGGAGGAGGAGGAGGAGGAGGGGAGGAGGAGGAGGGAGGAGGAGGGAGGAGGAGGAGGAGGGGGAGGAGGGAGGAGGAGGAGGAGGAGGGAGGAGGAGGAGGAGGGAGGAGGAGGAGGGGGAAGAGGAGGAGGAGGAGGAGGAGGAGGAGGAGGAGGGAGGACAGGACATGACCGGACATCCGCATAAAGGGGGCCAACGTCAACACCTACGATGGTGCCGCGCGCGCGATTGATAAAGACCCGCGCGATTAGGTTGTGCAGCAGCCCAGACTTCTCATTAGGGCCAGCAGGGGGCATGCCCCGAAGCTTCAAGGGGCGAGCTCCGAGGTGGCCCCGTAAGAGAGGCTCGCTACCTTGTGAATACGAGTCCCTGCGGGCCAGTGTGGGGAGGGCAGCTATTGGCCCTCTCGCGTGCCCATGACACTGGGGACGCGCTGGGCGAGCAGGGCTCCCAAGCGAGGGGGGGAAACGACGACACGACCATGCAAAAAGGAGAAGAGGAGGGAAATCGGGAGGCCCTTGCGTTCCAAACTGTTGCCGGTGGGACCGACTTGCATTCTACCTACGACCAGCTGTTTGTTATGTATACCAAAGTCTCTCCCCTCTCTCTGGGCTCACTTCTCCTCCTGAGCGCGCTGGCCGTTGGTTGCCGCACGCGTTGTCGCATCTGCACCCTGATACACTGCAGTAGTATCTCACAGTACCCCCTCGGTGAGCAGGTAGGGGCGAGCATACTTATGGTCACGGCATGTGGGAGTATGATTTCATTTCCCTCCTCCAGTCCTCCAGCTGTACCGCTGGAGTTTCGAGATAGGTGGGGCTCTCAGAGATGCGCTGTTGTGGCCTTCGCGGCAATCTCATTTTCCAATTCTCACTCCCTGCAGTCGTGTACCTGCCGGCACTCCAAAAAACACTTTCCAAGACGTTGTCTGCGCGAGCGCTCTCATGAGGGTCCTCACGCCGAGATGTCCCCGCTACTGATGGTCCCTGGTCCCTCTAAGTTTGCCCGCCTTGCCTGCCTAGAGTCGCTCTCCGAGATATCCTCGCTAATGCACCCCTTGGCGTTGCAAGTGGGCTCTCTCACGCACGGCCGCTGGAGCTGGCCGCCTCCCCCGACTTGGCGCACTTCTCGAAGATCTCGGTGCTATCCAAGAGGGTCTTCGTACTGTCTCGGGGTTGCTGACGTTTTCTGAGCCTCTCTACCTCCTCTGGGTCGAGTGCCGCTCTTACAAGGCGACCTTCATGACGCTGCACAGGTTCTCCTCGTCGTTCTTCGCGATCTCCAGCGCCAGCTCACACCAGCTTTGCGTAGGGAAGGACCTCTTTCCTGCTCTTTCCCACGTGTCCATTGGGCACGTTGCGATTTAGCGCGCAACTTTCGACCTGATGCGTCATAGGGAAGGACGGTGGGATCAGCTCGGGCAGCTCCTCTGGGCTCATCTTCTGGGCGTAGAACTTGTAGTGGTTCCCCTTGATGGCGTCGTCTAGCTTCTGCGGCAGCGTGTCCGCTACGGTTCCCACTTTTCTCCGAACTCCACCACCATGGAAGGCCTCCTCCTGTACGGGTGGAACTTTGCCTTGCACCCGATGCCGGGGCCACTTCTCGCAGTCTTTGCCGAAGTCCTTCGTCACCCTGTCCACCCACTCTTTCATGAGCTCATCTTCTGGGTGGCTCTTCTGCGCCGACACCAGCTGTTTCCAGTCCACTTTGCACCAGAGCTTCCACGCAACGAACCCCCAACTCCAATCGGCAAGAACCGCAGCTCCACTCCATGGAGTGGAGCTGCGGTTCTTGCCGATTGGAGTTAGGGGTTCGTTGCGTGGAAAAAAAAGTTTGCACCAGAGCTTCCACGGGTCTCCCCTCGAGTTGGGGCGGGGGCCTTTTCCGCCATAGCTTGTTCGGGAAGGCCAGTCCGCACGAGCAGGCACAGTCCCTCTTGTTGTCCCATCCTGTGCTTCTCCTGCACACGTTGAACAGCTGCATGTTATCGCCCCAATTGCCCACGAAGTCCAGCGCCTTGAGGTACTTTGTCCGTGTCTCCCCCATGTCCTTTGCTGTCTTGTAGTCGCCCATCTCGTGCAGTTCCTTCTCCTTCTCTTACAGTTCCTTTTTGGCTGTATGTAGCGTTTCTTCGTCATTTGCGTCCATGGCCAAGGACTTGTTCAGCAGGATGACGTACTCTTCTGCGCACCTTAAGGCATCTGCCATGTCTTCCTCTGTTTAAAGAAGGCTGCGAAGATGCCCCCGTTCATTCTGATGCCCTCCAGCAGAGTTTTTGACATCTCTTTGGACCTCTCGATGATTATCTTGTTCCCCAATCAGAGCTTGCCTCTGTAGGGGTCCTAGCGGATTCAAATGGTTAGGTTAGGTTTGTCGCCGATTTTCGCCGCACGCCCGGGTGCCTGGGTGCCCGGGGGTGCCCAGGGCCCCGGTGCCCAGGGGGTGCCCGGGGGTGCCCGGGTGCCCGGGTGCCCCAGCGTGCCCGGGGGTGCCCAGGGGTGCCCGGGGATGCCCTATAGCCCTATAGCCCTAAGCCCTATGGCCCCCTAGCCCTATAGCCCAATCGCCCAATAGCCCTATAGCCCTACAACTCTATAGCCCTACCGCTCTATAGTCCTATAGCTCAATAGCCCTACATCCCTATAGCCCCCTAGCCCTATAGCCCTGATTGGGGCGTTTCTCCGGTATCATTCTTCTGATTGCGAGACTTATTCTTTGGTCATTTCTCGGTTTCTATGTTTGCTGCCTGGATCTGCCCCAAGGACTGGGCTGTCCAGGCGGCGCTTTTAGCTTTCCTCTTCCGTTCTCGGCATACTTACTCCCTCGTGATGTACTGGTCTCCTCCATGTCGAATCTTCTCCCCGTCACTCCACTCGATCCACTCCTCCTGCCTGAGCGCCAGCTCGCAGTCGATGCACACCCTCCTCCATTGAGTTCCTTTGCCTCCGTGGTCTGTTTCATGTCCGGGCTCGTTCTTGGCGTGCTCCCTGTGGCTCTCGATCATATTGCAGCGCCCGAGCCCCATGCTGCAGCGGCCGCATGGCCACAGCTTGTCGCTGCTCGCGAAGGCCACGGGCAGCCTCCAGCGTCCTGCGCTCCGAGATATCCCTGCTTGTGCGCGACGCCTGCGCACCTGGACCGTCGTTGAGGCAGAGGAGCTGCGGTGGCCGAAGGCGATCCAGGGAGGCGGAAGTGTAGTGCCCCGTAGCCGCAAGGATATCGCATAGGCATGCGCTTCCACCCCCATGTCGGCACACCCCTCACACGCTTCGTGGCCATAGGGGGCTCCACCGAAGGCCCCAACGGCAGCGCCCGCACTCGGTTCAGGAGGGAGACGACGGCAATCGCAAGGGAGCTCGGCTTCACCGAGTTCATCCGCGAGGGCTGACTTGAGGGGCGCCCCGCCTGAGCCGCGCCTTCTTTCGATTGCCCGACGAAGTATTTGGCCTCGCGCCGCGGACGACCCGCGCGCGTCGCTGGGACCCTCTCGGGGCGACCAGCACGCGTCGCGGGAACTCCGTGCTGCGCTCGCCCGTCGTCGTTCTGCCCAGCGGCCAGA